AAGTCAAAACAGAAATCAAAATACCTGAAGAAAAGCTTAGCAAATCCTTTGAAGTGGAAGCTAAAGCTCCAGAATTTAAAGGTACAAAAATAGAAACAGAGGGGTCACCATCCAAGTATAAGATGCCGACATTCAAGATGCCAAAATTTGGACTTTCTGTTCAGAGTTCCACAGCAGAAGTGCCTCATTTGGACAAAGATTTGAAGATAACTGAAGGAGAAATGACAATGTCAGAGGAGGTCATTGTAGTTAGCACAGAAGGACCAAGTGTTGAAATTGGGGATTTATCCATAGAGTCAAAAAAACAGGGAAATGAACATGAAGGAAAAGGAAAAAGGTTTAAGTTGCCAAGTCTTGGATTTTCTGCTACACAGACCAAAGTGCCGGACACAGATTTAAGCTTGAAGACAGGTGTAGATGTTACACAACCAGAACTCAAAGCTGAAGTCAAATTTCCTGATGATGAACTGAAAAGAATAGAAACAGAAATAGAAACTAAAGGACCTGAATTTCAAGTCGAAGCAAAGGACATTGGAGGATCAACATCCAAGTTTAAAATGCCAACTTTTAAATTACCCAAATTTGGGCTTGCCACTCAAAGTTCCACTGAAGAAGTACCCTCTTTTGACAAAGGTGTCAAAATCAGTGGCGGTGAAACCACAGGCTTAGAGGAGGTACTTATAGTTACCACAGAAGGACCAAGCATTGAAATCAAGGGGTCATCAGTAGATTTCAGCACCGAAGGAAGTGATCTTGAAGGAAAAGGAAGGAAGTTCAAACTGCCAAGTCTGAGTTTTTCAGTACCTCAAGCCAAAGAGACAGAGACTGATTTGAGCTTAAGGACAGATGTAGAGGTTAAAGTACCAGAGGTAAAAGCTGAAGTCAAACTTCCAAGCAACAAATCTTCTGTTGAAGTGGAAACTAAAGCACTTGAAACCAAAGATACAAAAAAGACTATAGAAGGATCACCCTCCAAATTTAAAATGCCAAATTTCAAGTTACCAAAATTTGGGCTTGCTACTCAAACTTCCACTGGAGAAGAACCTCCATTAGACAAAGGTGTAAAACTAGTAGAAGGTAAAATCACAACTTCTGAAGAGGTTATTGTAGTTACCACAGAAGCACCAACCATTGAAATCAAGGGTCCATTATTAGAGCTAAAAACTGAAGGAATTGATCATGAAGAAAAAGGAAAAAAGTTTAAGTTGCCAACTCTAGGTTTTTCTGCGACAGAGGTCAAAGGGACTGGCAGTGATTCAGGGTTGTCAAAGACAGAAGTAGATGTTACATTGCCAGAAGTAAAAGCTGAAGTAAAACTCCCTGATGACGAGAATCTGATAAAAACATCTGCTGCAATAGAAATTAAAGGACCTGAAATCAAAACAGTGACAAAGGAAGCTGATGGTTCACCATCCAAATTTAAAATGCCTGGATTCAAGTTACCAAAATTTGGGCTTACTACTCAAAGCTCTACGGAAGAAGGTCCTCCTTTGGAGAAAGCTGAGGAGGATAGTGAACCTAAAAACACTGTCACCATGATAGATACTAAGGCGACTGAAATAACGGTTGTGTCAAAGGACACTGATGGATCACCATCCAAATTTAAAATGCCAACATTCAAGTTGCCAAAATTTGGCCTTGCTACCCAAAGTTCAAACAAACAAGTACACGATGCCAAAACAGTGAAAGGTGAAAGTACTACTTTGGAGGAAGTTCTCACAGTTACAACAGAAGAACCAAGCATTAAAATTAAGGGTCCATCTGTGGATCTAAGGAGTTCAGAAACTGATGATGAAAGAAAAGGAAGTAAATTTAAACTTCCAAGCCTTGGTTTTTCATTATCACAATCCAAAGGACCGCATACCAACATCAGCTTACCCAAGGCAGATGTAGATGTCACAGCACCAGAAGTCAAAGCTGAAGTTCATTTTTCCGATGCAAAAGTGGAGCAACCTTCTGTGCAAATGGACGTTAAGTCTCCAGAGATCAAAGCTGATATTGACACTACATCAGAAGTTAAAATGCCTAAAATTACATTACCTAAATTTGGAGCTGTAACCCCACATATCAATATGGAAATACCTAAAATGACCAAAGAGAAAAGGGGTGATGTGGATCTTCATGTTGATACAGATTCAGTAGATTTGAATGTGAAAGAAGGGGAACTAAAGAAATATGAAGTCCAGCTACCTGGTGCTGAGGCAAAAGGCGAAGATGTACCTACAGTTGAACTTGAAGGTAAAGTAAAACGGCTAAATTGGACTTTTCCTAGCATCTCATTTTCAAGAACTGGTGGTAAAGCCTCTGAAGTCGATGTCAACATGGAAGCTCCAAAAGCTGGTGTTACGTCAATGGAGACCAAAATCTCAGATGTTGATGTTAAAAAATCTTCAATGGTCCCTGCAGTAGAAGCAACCCCAGCTCCAGAACTTGACCCAGGCTTAAAGAAAAGTAAGTTTTCACTTCCCAGATTTTCATTTTCAAAGCCAAGCTTGAAGGAGCCTGAAGTAAAAGCTGACCTCCCAGATCACGGAATAGAAGTCGAAAATTATGAAACCGACATGACAACAGAGTTCAAACTCTCTGCAGATGAAGACAAAAACGTCCTAACTGCTTTTGAAATGACAACTTCTGAGGCTGAAGTCAAGTCCAAAAAATTCAAAATGCCAACTATGAAAATGCCAAGATTTGGCATTTCGTCTTATGAGGTAACAACAGAGACGCACATCTCAGATCAAACAGCTGAAGACAATGGAAGTCAGCTGGGAGAGGGTGCTGCTGTTATCATCAAAGGTCCAAAGATTGATTTTAAATCAGATGCCCCCAAATCAGAACAACCAGATCAAGAAACCCTAAACACAGAAAGTGATAGTGCGGTTCAAGGATCTCCAAGTAAATTCAAACTGCCTACCTTTAAAATACCACGGCTGGGTCTTTCAAGATCCAAACCTGAAGATGAATCCGTTCACTTTGAGCATGAAAATAATGAAGATCAACTGGAAATGAAGACTGAGCCAAAAGAAGAAAACCTATCACCAAAACTGACTTTAACATCATTTGGTGACATTCTTAAGTCGATTGATGTTGACTTTGACGTTCGAAAAGTGGACAAAGTTGATCAAGATGTTGAAACCTCAAAGGAATTTCATGAACCAGGTGAACCCACCACAATTCACATAGCGGCAAAAACAAAGAAAGATACCACCAAAAGTCCAGAGAGCTCGAGCTGGTTTAAATTCCCGAAGTTTGGCCCGTCTTCCCCAACAGAACAACAAAAGATTCCTGACAAAGCAGAACAAGTAAAAGATGGCAGCCCAGAAGGGGAAACCAAGGACGAGGAAGTAAGTCCCACCCTTTCTGTCCAATCATCAGATGCTTTTGCTGATGTAAGCTCTACAATCACAAGTGAGCCTGTTGGCCCATTCATACCTTCCCCAACCAAGGTGACGGTCAAATACTCTGACGAAAGTGCAGGTGCTGGACTTGAAGAGATGCACAGTGACATCATGACTTCCACCACAAGGACTGAGCTGATTACAGATGTGCCCTCCTTGCCGGAGAAGATCACTATTTTGTCTTCTGGTGTTTCATCTTCTTCTGAAGATACAGTAAGGCTAACGTCGGGAAAAATACACATCATTACATCAAACATACAGCCTACTCCTGAGTCACAACATGCCAAGATTCTGTCTGCTGTCCAAGTCCAATCAGCCGAAGGCTTTGCTTTGCAGTCGGAGGGAGATGAAGCTCCATCGTGGATGGTCCAAGATGTTCAAAGTGCCACAAGGACAGTCAAACACTTAGTCCAAGAAACAACAACTGAAAGAAGTGAGAACAAGGAGACCGTGGTTATAACCAAACAAATCACCCATATATTTGGCCCCACAGACCCCATCTCAGGGGAGACAGCATCATCTATTCAACGTCTCAAAGACTCTGTGCACACTGAGAAAATGAGGTTCTTTGATGAGGCTGAGAAGTGAAAGAAGAATTTGAATTTGTGCTTAAAGATACAACTCCTTGTTAAGGCTCGCCATAAAAGAAGGGCATAGAGTTTCACCACCTGAAGTTAAAAACAAAATGGCAACTGGATGAGGGACCAATCTAACACACCAATCACTGAAAGTTCTTTGTTAGCATCCAGGTATCACCACGGCAATGTGATGTGGAGTTGCATGCTTATTGAGCTTTATAGAATTGCACCGCTGTAACAAAGTGCGACTGTTACATTTATGTTGTGGTCAAGATGTTAATAAGCTGGTTAAATTATTCTCCTCAATGCATAACATATGTTTGTTTATAGTAAACAATGTTTGATTTATGCTAGCATACACAGTGCCTTGCAAAAGTATTGATAGCATCATCACATTTCATTACATTACAGCTACAGCATTCATGAAGTTTCATGGGGATTTTGGATCCTAAAATGGTGGAAAACAATATATGGTATTTAAATTAAGTGAATATTACCAATATTCTTAAAGAAAAATCTGGAAAATGTGATATATGTGTTAACACACAACCCTCCTTAAGTTCTCAATAGATACTAGAATTACTTTTGGCTGCAAATCCCAAGGGTGCGTTTCTGGAGGCTTTGTATATCTAGACAAAGGGAACTTTTCACATTGTTCTGTGAGCCTTAACCTTCAACTCTTGCCACAAACTGTTATTTGGACTGTCCTCCCTGAAGAGTAGCATCCCCACAGCATGATTCTACTAGCACCATTAAAGGGGCAGTATTATGTAAAATAAACTTTTTTGAGCTTTACATCACGTTATAATGTTATCCCTCATCAAAAATCATGCCTGGAGTATTGGCTTGACAAATTAAGCTCCATGGCAACCATTCTTGGGGGAACCTAGTGCCACTTTCAAGATGCAGCTCCTCCTATGAGATCAGCTCCTTCAGACTAGTCAGCAGCAATTAGCAAACACGTGGTGGAACTGCACATCTGCTGAGCTCATAATAGGAGCTATTTCTCAGTGAAATGCTGGTTAAAAAAAATGTTAAAGGCGTAGCAGAGGAGCCATGTTGTGATCACTTCCTGTAGGTGGGGTTTCAGAAAGAGCAGGAATTTTTAAAGAGACAGAGGCCCAATTTCAAGGTGCTAAATTACAAAGTCAAATTTCTTTTAAGTCATAGTACTTATATAGCATTTTTTAAATAATTGAAGTTAACATAGTTGATTATGTTCAGTTGATTATGCTATAAAATGGCACATATGACCCTTTAAGCAGAATTTAATTTGATTCCTATTACGACCACTTGAGTTTCAATACAGGTTTCCAGTTCTCTTAAAATTTAAAGTTAATATGTGAAATATATTAACTTTTAATTAATGTATTATGAAGTCATCAAATCAAAATTGATAGGATTGTCATTCTCAATAAAACCTAAAAGTCTTAGCTTTTTGGTGTTTGTTAAGATTGAAACATTATGGAGGCTCCTAGAGGTTTGGGTGGCCTAAGCAGTGGCTTAGTTTGCCTGTACATTAGGCTGCTCCTCTGAATAATGCAAACATTTTTATTTTGGAAAAAATTTTTTTTGTAAAAATGCATTTTTCCTCCCTCCCACTTTACTTCAATGTGCTACTTTGAGTTAGTTGCATCACAACCAAACAATACGTTGAGATTTTATGAAAAACTTAAAGGGTTATGAATTTTTCTTCTAAGACACTGTGTGAAATATTTCCTGTCAGTTTGTACTTTTAAAATCAGTTCAAGTCACTTTGCATAATTACTTTGCAGGACGATGACTAGAGCATTCAGTTAAAAAAAAAAGAAAGAGGAGAGAGACAATGTTGCTGATATTCCAGAGTATGTTCACAGCTAGCGCTTAAAGCAGAAAAATATTTACAGCAAAAAAAATCTATATACAAGTAAAAAAAAAAAAAGCAAATGTACAGGAATTATCTATATACTGTGGCTACAGTGGATGTGTAAAGAAACAATACCATTGCAAGGCTGAAGTAAAATGTTCATTGTAAAACTCTTAAAGTGCCCTGCTGCAATTACACTTGTAACAACTCACTGTGCAGAAGCTACTTTGCTATGATGTGCACTAAAACTGTTAAGTATATCTTCCTTTAGTAGAAGAACTACTGACCCAGCCATGTAAATAGCTTTTGGAAACCATGTTATTTTTTTGGTCACTGCTCTTGTTTTTATCCTGATAGGCTATAATATAACTGAATGTATTTACAAAGTTACACTCAATAAATAATATAAAAATTAACATAAAACTTTTTCCAAGTTTGCTGATTGATTGTCTTTCTTCTTTTCTTTCTTAAAGATAAATCTTAAAAATAAATTAATCTTTTATTATAGATTTAAAAACTTGAGGGAAATTTAAACCTCGAGTTTAAATTTAAACCTTTAAATTTTAAGTTTAAACCTCGAGTTTAAATTTTCTTCATCTAAAAAAAAATCTTTTATCTTCTTTAGTATCGGAACATTATTGCAGTTATTTAGCTGATTGTTGTTTTGGTGACCACTGTTGTTTTGCATTTATACTATGCATAAAAAACTCATGTCTTAAAGGAGGGTCCCTTCCCTCTTGATGAATTAATGGATGAATGGATTTTTATGATATTTGTTTTGATAGATTATGCAACAGAAGAGACATTTATCTGAAAGGGACAGTTAATGTGGAAGGCGAAGCACAAGCTCCGTCTTTGGACTCAGCTTCAGAAAATGTAACTGCAGAAATATTCCGCTAGAGGGAGACACAGTTCATTCTTTTAATAAAAACGAGTTCATCTGTTACCTGGTGTAGTCCAACTTTGACTACTTCCTCATCATTACAATTTTTGTTTTCCTCTAGTGTAAGTTTGTCAGTGACGTAGAAATCCAATCACATGGAAAAGCATAAAATAAGTTCACATATTCAGTTTTAAACATTTAAATTTAATCAAAATTAGGAAAGTTATTACCCACCTGCTAGCAAAAACTGTAAAACCACCAAGTTAAACACTCAGCAAGAAAAATTCTGATCATTTTTACTCTTCAAACCAGCTGTGGGAAATTGGGAATGTAGATGACTTGATTTAAAAGAAGGAGTCATATCTAGAATGTTGCAGGTGGCAGAAATAGAGACATCACCAGTGGAGTGGTGGGATCATCAGGTGTGACAGTTGAGAGCATTTCCAGAGCCTGATAGAGTTGGTATGGATTGTTCTACTTCTCCCTCAACCAGTTCTGAGTGGTTTCATTTTGCATCTAAACGTGGTGTACAGTAGTAGACCAAAGTTGGAGCAAGTTTATCTACACATGTTGTGTCATCCTGCATGGTTATGCCTTTTGCATGCTGGGTAATTGCCCCAATCCAGCCATCTGGCCTCATTCACACAAATCAACTTCTGGTGATGCTTTTTAATGGATCTACAAGGAATCCTCTGTGCGGTTGCTTACTCACCTTTTTCACAGACTGTTGGATGTTACAGCAACTTCCTGTAACGCCATCTCCTCTGAACCCTCAATGATGACACATAACCCATGTGGTGCACCACAGCAACACCAACACTTTTGTTTTGCTAGGACCCCAATAGTTCCCGGGTAGTTCCAGGGCCTCTACCTCAAATGATTTACCCATAACCCCACCAAAAGCAAGAAGACAGGAAGTATTCAGACGTTCAAAACATCTCAGTTGACTCCTTCGATTCAGAGGAGCAGCAGCTCCAGCTCTGCCTGGATAATTACATTTTACTCATTTTACATCATGATAATCTAGGATTTTAACAGGTATGTTTAGACTTTTGATAGAATCTCTGTAAACCATGTTACAGAGTTATAAAAACTACTTCCCTTACAAATATGGAATATGACTTGAAAAAAGTGTGATAAAAAGTCTGTCTCAGCATAGTGACAGCACTATGAGTAAAGAATTTGTTAAATATGTTTAAATATATGTATAATGTTTAAATAAATTTATATTCATAATTTTAAATAGACAATTATTTATAAAAATGTAATAAATGAAAATAATCCCTAACATTTGATTGCTCAACCCCTGCCCATGACAGGGTTATTCCCATCAACCTAAAATGTTTTAGGTTGATGGCACGTTTGTTGGATTAAAAGTACCATTTGAAAATAGCATTAAAATTAGTAAATGTATGTTTTATTTAGCCAATTTTTCTATGTTAAATATGTTTTATTTAATGATTTGATGTACTATTCTAATTTAAGATGTCATGTTTTAATTAACTGTCAGTGGAAAATCATCATAGTTAACAGAAATGTAGGCTTTCAACAATCCATCTGTGTGTAATAAATCTGTACGATGTATTTCATTTAGTGGGAAAGTTTCAGAAATAAAATTATTTATTGAATGAACCTAAATTACTTCAAAATATATGAACAAATAAATATAGAAAATATGGTGCGTAAGTATTGAAATTTGAATTAAGAACATACAAATTTAATTACCTAAGTATTTCTCATCTTACAGCAAATTGTTCTGTTAAACAAACACAAAAGCGGATTTATTTATTTAACTTACATGTTTCGAATTTTATTTAAACGATTATACGTACAATCCAGTGAGTTACTTTTTAATAAGTGAATTTGTTGCCCTCACTAAGCAACTAGCGCGCGGGAAAACGTCCAAAGCATGTCGCAATGGATTTAAACCTGACTTTAAAATCCCCACCTTTCCGAATTCAGTGAAGGCAGCACCAGTCACGCTCCACTGCGCAGACTCGAAACACTTTCGTACGAGCGGTAACTTCACAGAAAACCTTGTTCGCTCCTCCGCCTGTCGCCCACCTCATCATCATCATCATCATCATCAGCCGCAGCAGCAGCAGCAGCTGAAGCATCATCGGCAGCAGGATCAGTGTGATGAGGCAGCGGAGGAGGGAGACCTTTCTGCTCTGAGACTCTGGATCAGCCCGCAGACAGGTAGGAGCGTTTCTTCTTGCCATTAAATTATATATTTTTTTTATTTGTCTTCAAGCTCATTTTAATAGCTAATTAAAAAATAAAAACAAGAAAAAAAAATGTTGACATGAAAACATTTTAAGGGGGATTTGACTGTTTCCGCACGTAGTGGAGCTCTTTCTAACAGCATCTACCTGTTGTGTAGGGAGTTAGTTTAAACTTATGCTAAAACAGCCAGTCTAGACATTTATGTAACATTTATTTTCTTTTTTTTTCCAAGTTACGTGCATGCTTTGCAGAAATATAAGCTTCTGTGCCGCTGAAATATCAGGGGACTGGTGAACTGGGGCAACAAGCAGGAGGAATCAAACTGAACTTCAGCTGGAGGACAGCAGTGAGGCAGCGAGGCGTTTCACAGAAACAGGAAACGGCGCTCCTGTTTTTGGGCGCCGCGAAGAAATTTTCTTTTGGGCCCCAAATCTCACAGGATTTAGGGGGGAAAGTGGCATTTTGAGACGGCGTTTCTGTTTTAAAGGGACAGTTCTGCATTCTTGAAATAAGATTGTAGGCAGCATGCAGTTAAAGTGCTACTTCCGGTTGGGAGATTCTCTGTAGTTCTCTGGGCAGTTTTTATTTGTTTGCGCGTCTGTTGGCTTTTTAATTTTTATGTGTCGATTTTTTTCAGTACTCCTGCTTCCTCCGTCAGTCTGGAAACACGACTGTTAGGTTGATAGGTCTCTGTAAATCGTTGCTAGTGGTGAGTGTGTGTAGGGTTGTGTGTCTCTGTTCTTTCTACCTGGTGGACTACCTGGTGTAGTTTTGGACATTAATAAAGTGTCTCATTTATTTATTTGATCTCACGCTATTCAAACTCTGTTGGTGTCTTCATTTAGTACAAATCCAAGTTATTTGGTCCAGTCCAAAACAGGCCATGTTTGTAGTCGATTTCTACTTTTTCAGACAGTTCCAGTCCCAGAAACATTCAGGTGATTCATGTTAACTTTATTTTGTGAACCTTTAAAATGACGGCTGCACTAATCAGCAGTTTTCTGGCCGATCAATGTCTGACCCCATCGATTCCAATTTTTGACCAATTTAGTAAATTTTTTTTGACAGAAAAGTTACTAAGTAAAGCAACAAAGTTACTATATTTAGTAAACGTGTTAACAGATGTGACCTGGTGACCTGGTTTGTCACCCAGTCTGCTCACGGCAGATCAAAAGGAGACCAGGGCCGATTTGTAGACCTCTGCAGAGGAAGATCGGTGGATACGATTGGTTTCTCATGTAAGTATCAACCATTTACCGAACTCCCCCCCTCCACCCCCCCAAAAAAAATATATATTTACCGGTGCAGCCGTATGTCTGCAATGATGAATGAATTATTTATAAAAGGAAATGGAAACTGTAGGTAGTAACTGGTAACAGAACCAAACTTTTACGGTAAAGAATAACTATCTTATGAAGATTTCCAAAAGAACTAAATTATTATGCTTTAAGTGAGAACAATAGTGCTTTGAATTAAAAAAATCCCTTTATATAATATTTCTCTTATTCTGTTTTTGCTATTTAGTCCTACTTAGATGTTTCAAATGATCAAATTCAGTTCAACTCAGTTTATTCATGAGGAGCCAATTCACAACAAATGTTGTCTTGAGACGTTTGTATTTCAATTCAATCACACATACATTCCAAATGATCCCAGTTATCAAATATTAAGCTCAGTTATGAATTCATATTAGGTTAATTCACAAAATAACCTGAGTAAATGCAAAATGTAGTTTTCAAATAAGGATTTTGGTTATTAAGGGAAGAAGAGCCTGTAAAATAACAGTCGTTCCTCATGTTAAATCCTGAGCTGGTTGTTATTAGCAACATTTCATTTTGTGGAAAACTGAGAACTGCAGGAAAGAGAACTCCTTTCAGCTGATCATGTGTAACAGTGACAGTGAGTTCCATTATCCATTTTGCATTTTGAACCTTGTATAATATCATTTTTTATCGATATCTAAATGCCTCACTGGGGACACACATAGTGACTCGTCTCAGGCTAAAATATTTAATATCTGTTCCTACTGGAAGCTTGTCTCTACTCAAATAAACTAATAAGGTCGAATTCAGCAATGAAAAAAGAAAAAAAAAAGGTTAAAATTGGGATTCATGGGAGAGTTGTAAGGCAAAAACCATCCATCCATCCATCCATCCATCCATCCATCCATCCATCCATCCATCCATCCATCCATCCATCCAT